GTCCTGAAGCACACTCCCTCCTGCTAGTAATGGAGAATGGGCGTCCTAGTGACCATTGTTGTGGGTCCCCGCCCATTCGACTATGGAGAAGTATTTCTTTTAATTTCCGCTCGCTCAATCCTGGACTGATGAGCTGTTTTTTTAGTAACTTCTCGAACAATTTGAGGATTTAATTCTAGTTTTCCGTCAGTGGCGGGAGGGGGAGACGGAGAGGGAAAGTGGTGTCAGTGGATAAACTTCCCAGACGGCGCCTGAGAACGGGAAAGAGCGGAGGCGTGATTCCGAAAGACGGAAAGGCCCAGCACATGCAGTGGCATGACCGGATAGCAGCCTGTAGGTTTCTTTCAACATACAAACTTCAAAAGGATCTGCAAAGAGATGGGTTTGGCATCAGGCAGAGGAGCGATGGTGACGTCATTGTTACGTAGTAGAACCGTGACCAAAAGGTGAAGCTCGTTTGACGTTGACCAACACTTTTTGCGATCTGCCATGTGCTACTTTGGTTCGGATTCGTGAAGGCATTTTGAATGCTATGTGTCCTTTACAATCATCATCTGTGGCTATCCAATGTACAACTCTAAGCTTTTTCCTCCCAGAGAAGTTTAGTGCCAATGAGTAGCCGCAAAGGGAAACAACGTTCGATTGAGAGCGGGGGCGGGTCCGGTACTTCATATCTAACCATGTGGGGGTCAAGCAGCCCCAATGCCAATGCCACACTGCCCTATAGATTGTGAGGGTCCATTAAGCATAATTAGCATTAGAACCCTAATGTAACTTACCTCGGAACATTTTGATCATATCCAAATAGCTATCAAGTGATTCCATGGTGAGAGCTGAATCAGTTCTACTATTAGATGGGGACTGATCAAGGAAAAGAGAAAGTAGTTAAAGATTATATTTAGCTATTCCGTACTGTATAATGAATAATAGAGTACTCACTTTTTTCTTCCTTCTCCTCCATTACTTCATTAACATCATCAACGAGCGGAGCCGTGAGGCACACTAGGCATATGCTCAAGAAGATGTAAAGTTTCATACCTGAAAGGGAAATTTGAAAACTTGTGAAGAGCAAGGCAAAAATTAGGCACTGCTATTGCAAGGAGGAAGGGGCATTTGAAGAAAAGCTTGTGCAAACATGGTTATTGTAGCACAATATCCCTTTTTCACACGAATAATCTTCATCTCCCTTATATAGCATCAGTCTAGCACGAGGAGCCCTCTAAGGCTGCGTTTATACTTTGCGGCAGCGTAGCGCTTCCAGCGTACGCCAGCGGCAGTGTCGGGGAAAGGATAGATATCGATCTAGCGTTCCCAGCGTCACCAGCGTACGCTAGCGTGCCGCTAGCGCACGCCAGCGGCACGCTAGCGCACGCTGGCGTAGCGAGGGCACGGGAAGCATAGCTATCGATCTAGCTTCACCAGCGTTTCTCCAGCGTTTTTCCACCAAGCGCTCTGCCAGGACGGAGCTATGAGAGGGCTAGAGAAGATATGAAGGAAGGGAGAATATTTTTGTTACTTTCCTACATTCAATACTCTCTTAGCACTTTTCTACCCCCGGTTACGCCTGGCAGCGCTAAATGCGGGGCACTAGAGAGTATTGGAAGTAGGAGAAGTAAAAAATACTCTCCTGCCCTCAATATCTGCTTCAGCCCTGCTCTAGTCCCCTTATCTAGCTCCGTCGCTCGCCAGGCCGCTTGAGGATAAATTGCTGGAGAAACGCTGGTTTGCAAGCTAGATCGATAGCTATGCTTCAGCCGTGCCCTCACTATCAATCTAGCCGCGTTGCCCCAACGCCACTAAGCAGGCGCCACTAGCGTGCCGCTGACCGACGTTTCGCTAAGACGGTCACGCTAGCGCTTACTATATTATATTTGATCCTTTCACCCGACACTGCCCCGCTGGCGTACGCTGCGAAGCGCTCGCTACGCTGCGCTACCGCTACGCTTGACCGCAAAGTATAAAACGCCAGCTAGTCCCTATCAAAGACAGGAGGCCACAAAAGCTTTGTGAGTGATAAGAATCGGCAAATTTTGCAGGTTCTACTAGAAGTCTCAGCGGAGCTAAGATACAAGAGATGATATCGATTAAGCTCCACAAAATCAATCACGCTATGGAAAGGTGTGGCGTTATTTCCAAGATTGCATAGCTCAGCTCTGGCCCACAATTCAATCGGTCAGCCCTTATTTGTGACAATGTCTCGCGAGCAATCCCAGGTTTTCGTCGCACACCGTTGTGGAAACACTCCAATACACCTGCATGGGTATACTAGGAACAGGAAGAAAGGCTATCAAGTTTCCAAACACGACCAGTGGTATTTATCAACATTCACATCGTCTCTTCCTGTTCACAAGTCCCTGACGTAAATGCAAAGGTGTTTTCAGGTCTTTCGCCGATGGAGTTACAACATTCCCAGCTGGGATTGCGGCTGCGCGCGGCTGGAATGAAAGACATGGATGTCAGGATGAACGTGCAGACGACTTCTGCTTATACGAAAGTTCAAGGTAAGGAGCATGCGAAGGTGTGAGCACCTCGTGAACAGCTCGCAAAAGTGGCATTGGATTTCGAAGCTCTCAGCAGCGGCTACGAAAAGCCCCGAAGAAGATGCGAACGTACAGATCGAGACGAACCTCGCTGAAATAAATGCCGCGGCAGAAGGAGCCTTGCAGAAAGTTCCGACGTTTAACAGGAGCGGTGGACTCCGCGATTGCGCGGGATTAGCTCGAAGAAGGAGGGAGAGAGAGGAAATGAAGACATGCGTGCTTGGTCACACCGTGCCAAGGTCAGTACTACTTAGAGGCAATTTTCATTGGTGAGTCCTTACAGATTCAATTGCAGTTGTTCTCATAACGAACATGTGAGAAGTATTGAGAGGAGAGAAAACAAAGAGGTAGCTCAGCTTCGTATCTCTGAGTTGTGGCAGTGTTAGGCTACGAACTGATGCCCAAACGAACACTAGTGAAAAGCTGTAGTACATGTTGGAAGTCTCGAAACGTACGAAACCATTATGCATCAATTTCTAGCTCTCTTGGTGGAGCGTCCCTGTTTAGGTTGTGTTTCTTGGCAACAGGAGAAATGTCTGGTCTGTGTAGTAACCACGGGTAAAACCGCCTGGTTGCCAATGTTTTGAAAGGGAATATTGTTAGCCACGTCCGCTTTTATAGCCACTAAAGTGACCCTGTAGGAAACTATGGTGCTGGGAATTGAGAGCTTACTTAATTACAGCTTGGTTATTTGCTTTCTCGACCTCTTGGTAGGTTGCAGGTAACAGTACACGTCCTGACGGGATGTTTTTCAGAATCGCTTTTACCCATCAAATCCCTTCGAGCAGAGGGGTACATGGAGGGGTAGGTACTCCCATGGTTCAATTATCAGGGATAGTGAGGTTATTACTGTGCCAACTAAAAAAGGACGCGTGAAACAACCAGGATTTTTTTGCCGTATTGAATACGGCCCCTCCTATTCTAACAACCAACTGCGACCACCTTCTCTGCGTTGAGAATACGACGTACAACAAGCCTTGATAGCCTCCCCATCTCTGAGATGCGGAAGACGTGGCTGTGTACTTCATTCGAACATGTAGAAGATGGGTTTTTTGTGGGATGTGCTATGTTATCTGGAAATATTTCACGGAAAAGCACCTGCCTCCACGTTCAAATAAGATACGAGCCGGTTCGCGCAACTCAGGAATTCAGGAAGCGAATTGAAATAAAGTTATATGGGTTCGAGCCTCGCATAGCGGGGAGGGGGAGAGGGAATTTCACTCCACTGGCTAAAGAAATAGTCGTGAGTAGAAAAATCACTATAAAAGATCTATGCTTCGTTACCCCCCCCCCTTTTCTCCCTCCCCCATACCCA